AAGCCAAATATATAATAGCAAAAACCTCTTTTAGAGTTTTGATAGCTAATATACCTATATGATATAAACATAGTACTGCGCTTAAGATATGAATAAGCTTAAGTTACATATATAATAGCAAAAACTCTGTACAGTTTGTTAGCTAATACATGTTATAATGTAACCATAAAGCTTAAAATATGATGAAACTTAAGCCAAATATATAATAGCAAAAACCTCTTTTAGAGTTTTGATAGCTAATATACCTATATGATATAACATAGTACTAAGCTTAAGATATGAATAAGCTTAAGTTACATATATAATAGCAAAAACTCTGTAGAGTTTGTTAGCTAATACATGTTATAATATAACCATATTGCTTAGAATATGATGACACTTAAGCCAAATAGCAAAAAAAACTCTTTAGAGTTTGTTAGCTAATATACTTATATGATATAAGCGTTATTACTAAGCTTAAGATATGAATAAGTTTAAGCTACCTATATAATAGCAAAACTCAGTAGAGTTTGATGGATAATATATTTTTATAATATGAGTCTAGTACTATGCTTAAGATATAAATAACTTAAGCTCATGTATATAATAGCCAAAACTCTGTAGAGTTTGTTAGCTAATGCATTATCATGTTACCATAGTACTACTCTTAAGATATGATTAACTTAAGGTAAATATATAATAACAAACTCTGTAGAGTTGTTAACTTATATATTGTATGATGTAATAATCATAGTACTGTGATGATAAAAGGAACTTAAGCAAATTATATATAGCATGTAGCTTTTAGTACTGTTATAAGATAAGTAGAAATCTGTAAGATTGACTTATCTTCTCCGAGAACTGTCAATTGTTGTCGAGGACCATGGGATCAATTGGTGGATACCTGAGGCGTCCTCGGTGGTGATATCTCTCAGATAATGGTTGGCAACCACCATATCGGATCTCCAGAAATAAACCCTCCATTATTCCAAAAAACATTTGTGTAAATCAATTGTAGAAGTTAATGTTCTAATATCATGAGTATTAAAGCTCATGGAGGGTCGGATTGGGTCCATCCGTCTTGTATGCACATAGTATGACAGTTCTGATCCAACGGAGATATAGTACGTGAGACTTCATTCTGCCTAAGTTGAAGATAGAGGAAATAATCTGTTGCATTTCCCTTCCTGTTTGGTTCGGTGGAGATAAATTTACAGTGCTCTTGCTGGCCATCGTGATAGAATCATCGTATCATGGAGCCCAAGTATGTTATCCAGGCGTGTTCATAAACCTCACTTGTGAGGTGTTGGAGTACTATATTCAGATCCCCAAGTTGGGGCGTGAAATTTCCGTTTTAATTCTCCAATCAGAAGCTTAAGTAGGTTTACTAACCATCCAGTTGTGTTAGTAGCTTGATGATTAAATTCAACTGTAGTCTGAGGCGCTGTGGGTTTAGATCAACTTGTATCCCCGTCGTCTAGGTAATTAGCTGCGAGGTTCTTGGCGATGTAGGTGCACAACCAGGTGTGTCTGTCCTCGTTGAACTTTATGTAAATTAGCCTGACTGCCGTGCTCTCGCCCTAACTTGACAGGGGAGGCCTCTAACCTGAAGAAAGCAGCCCAATCATGAAGGTTCAGGTTAACTGGACTGTAAGGAGGCTTGCTCGTTCACTGATATATAGTTGTCACTTGTGATGTAAGTCTTGAACTGTGAATTAAGATCGATCTCCCGCGTGGAGTCGTTGTCCATCGCGGTCCAATCAGAACAAGGCATTTTGATTCTGTAGAAAACCCCAGCTGTGATGTCACCGGTGTAGCAGGAAAAACCTTGTATAAAATCTTGCCGTCGTTGATATTAGCATAATCGTCGGTCTTCACTGTAGCTTCCGAAGTTACCCGAAAGTGACCACGTGTTTGAGGGTTAATGGTAAGCCATGAAACCTTCGACGCGAAATACCTCGCTCTGTAATATTAATGCTGGGTAGGTTATTTTCCTGGCTGTCGTGAAAGTAACTTCAGTTTGAATCTAATTCCGACTTCCTTATATAAGGTACAATAACCTTGCAAGTTGTCAGCTTGTAGACTGTATACATGAATGTATCGTCATAATCGAGAATTAAAGCTGAACTTGTTGTACATATTTCTTCTCAGAAAAGTTGACGATTATGAGTTATACTCGCTGTAACAAGGCTGCTGTTCAATTTCAATATTGAATTGTCTGCAGATATGCGTAATGGTCACGCATGTAGATAATCGTATAGTCGTCCGGAATTGCATATTCTAGCCATCTATACGGAACAGTTGATTTCTGTGAAGATCTATGAAACGTCGTTGACTAATCAATACAGCGACGTTCTGTGTTGTAAATAGCCTGTGCAATTGTCTTCGCGTAGGCTTATAGATGGTATCTGGCATACAGTTGATAGACAACTTATGCGATGTCTTGAACGGACTGACGAGTAGCTATATATGACGAGTGGCTAGTATATGGAGACCTTGGAGGAGACTTCCTCGGTGAACTCTGGAGACTTCGCGAAGCTCTCGAAGTATCCCTTCTGGGTGAAGTAGACTTGGAGCCACTTAGCCTTAGCGACCTTCGGCGAAGGTATCGAAATCAAACCCCGATTAGTATATATATATATATATATATATATATATATATATATATATATAGCTATATATATATATATATATATATATATATGAACGCTTGCTTCATGAACGGCCTCTGTGTTTAACAGGATGCGGGTCGGCGAAGCGTTACTCCTCCGCGATGTCCCTTGTAGCTGGTGAGGCTCTAGCTCCTTCGCGGAGGCGGCCTGGGACTTGCTGGTTCTGCATAAGTAGGGCCGAGTGGATCATCTTATCATCTTCAGAAATCGTGTTACAAGTCTGGTGATAAGTGTCTCATTGATCGTTTTAGATCTATTTAGGCCAAGAACATACGTCTCGTCATGGATTCAACTGAACCAATTTACGATTGTAGTTCTTATTCTTGATATTGATGATCAACTTGTCTATGGGTTGATTTTCTCGGAGACTTGTGAGGAGAACGTTGATAGCTTCGCGAAGCTCTTGTGTAGTCCCTCGATGTCCTTCTAGATGATGATGATCTGGATTCAGGTGTCCTTAGCGAATGCCTTCGCGAAGCTTCCTCTGCGTCCGGTCCGGGGGAACGACGATATGACCTTCGCGAAGGCTTCCGTGATGTCTGATGGTCCGAGTCCACATCTAGGGATGAAACCGAAGAAGGTGATGATCTATCCCGCCTTCGCGAAGGCTGTACATCTAGGTCCTTCGTCAAGGTGGTCCGTGACTTCCTTCGCGAAGGTGACATCGTCCTGGTTGCTACGTTGACGGGGGGTGCCTCTGGGGTGCTGTCTACGTTGGAGCCTTCGCGAAGGCTCGGTCCCTGCTTCTGCAGTCTGTAGCGATCCTCCATCATGGTCATAATTTGCCGCATCAGGTCCTCAGGGATGGACTGCGACGAGGTCGTCGGTGCCTTATCTGCGGTGTTAATGGAGGGGTCCACAGGAATATCGTCCGACATCAGTGTAGAGGCATCAGGCTGCATGGTGATCTCTGCTGATGTCATTGTAGCTGTCACCGGTCGCTTCTTGTGGCGTATGTCGGGGATGATGATCGGCTGATCATCGTAGACGTCCAGGTCTGCGGCTGGAACAATCTCGGTTGAGAAAGTCCTAGTAGACTTCGTTGATTTCCCCTCAGATGTCAACGCTGCCCTCGGTGTGCGACGTCTGCGTTGAGTGTTGGTAGCGATGGGACCCTCAGGAAGATCATCGAATATCAGCGTTGGTACATCAGGCTGCATGCTGATCTGCGCTGACATCACTGTTGCCGACATCGGTCATTCTTTTGATGTACATCAGGTATGATGATCGGCTGATCATCATACAGGCCCAAATCCGGCTGTAGAGATGTAGTAGAAAACCTCTAGTCTACGGCTGCGACGATGGGATGTCTGGGGAAGCAGGGACGCTTCTTGGAGATGGCGGACTTCGTCGCCCCCGCCTCTCCACCACTCTAGCGGAACACCACACGGGAGGGGGGTCGGCCAACAGCAGTAGACTGGCGAGGGGTTCAGGTGTATCAGTCATACTAGACTCTGCATACGCGACCTATCTGCTGCGCGTCTCAAACGCAAAGTAAATATTAATAAAAGGTAGAATTGGATAAATTAGTACCGCAAGAACTGCAATGTGAATAAAATGAACATGGCGCAGTACAACTAAGGCATATTAAAAGCGGATCAGCAGCAGAATAAAAACCGTAATCTGCAATAGTACAAAATTTTCATCAACGTAATCCACTGAAACAAACACGGCGTCCCGTGAATAAACTGTAGAAAAACGACTAAATATCAATATATAATCGTTGAAGGATACTAGCTAAACCTCTATAGATGTCTATACGAGGTAACTAACTAAATATAAATCAAAGGATATAGTGTCGGGAGACACAAGCGCTCTCACGTCCAGCTCACTGGGCGAAGAAGGAGAGAGTGAGGCACATGGGTGAAGGTGGCGCCCTCGTTTCCCGCGCTTGTGGAAAGGGGGTACTCGTGGTGAGTACTAATTAGTGATTTTACATTGAAGGGAGCTTCAATTAGGGAGATACAAGTGTTTCCACTAAGTTCGCAAGAAGAAGAAGACAAGCAAAAGAGCATGAGTCAGGATAAGGAAAAATAATATATATTCAAATCATTCTACAAAAGTCTCATTCACCTAATCGTTTGAAAAAGAGTACATATTTCCATTATTGTTCATTTTGATGATTATATTTGTGGAAAAGGTCCTTATTTATCATGTAACAATTCATATATTTTTCTGTTATCATTATTCTTCCTACTGAAGTTAGAGTTGTATTGCTATATATTATTATATTATTATACAGTACCAGCAGCCTGACTTTATCATGAGCATCGATTTATGCAACAATGAATCAACATTTTATTTATATCATTACACTATTTATATAATAAATTATCATTTGTTTGGCAGATGCCCAGGAAAAAGAAAGTTTTCATCGGCAGTCGCCAGAAGGGCTACTCAAAGTGGGGTCCGAGACAACAAGGTGTCAGTTCTTCCTCTCTCTGAGACATTCTTATTCATCAGTTCAATCAACTGTTCTCGACAATTGCAGGTAAGTAATAATGGAAGTAAGAAATTCACAAATGATGTCTTTGAAAAAAAATGAGTAATTTTGTGTTGATATTTTGTAGTTATTGGTGCTTGTATATCTGGTACCTGCAGAAATAAGTTTAAAATATCAAAGCAATTTTATAATCAAATATTAATATTGTTTCTTTTCTTATGTAAAAACAACGGTATAGTGTAAATTATTAAATACAATATTCCCATCTTGAGTAAGTAACTAGACCTTGTTTGAAAGAGCATTGGCAACCAACTATTGCATAATTTTAACAACTATTTAGAACACTTCAAATTTATCTTTTTAATATTAATATTGTGTAACTCCATTTTCAGTTCAAGAGATGCACTGTGGGACAAAGCATGGAAGTCATTCTTCATTGACCTCACCGATGAACCCACAGATACCCCATGCCTGGAAGAAGCGACAGATTCTGATGGTTGTTCGGCTGATGAATTCTTTGGGTTTATTTGACACAATTCACCAGTATCATCCGGACAACAATGTAGATGAATTTGTTGATGGCATCCTGCGATACCAGCAATATTTAACATTAAAAAAGGAGCTGTTTCAGCATGTAGATGAGCTAGGCAATTTTACAATTGCAAGAAACAAGCGTGAAAACAGTACTATTGTGCAGTTTTATGACTGACGTAGGCTCAGTCCAGCTTTCAGTAGTCATCAAGCCATCCTTTACATCAGCAATATATGCACATCGACGTGACTTTAGCCCAAATCATGAATTCTGGATTGGTTTACCTGCATTTTTCTCCACTCTAAGAGATATGAAGAAACTTTTATCAAAACTGTCTACATACCATGTTTGCGTTGGCAATTATGAAGACAGATTTGCAGACTTGATTCCAGTTGGTGCAGGCATAAGTGAAGGAGCTATTTCAACAATATCTGCCTAATAATTTATCATGTTATAAAGTACATGAGTAGAAATTATGGAAATTAATATCCAATGTACAGTTCACTTCATGGATATCTAAAATATCTGTTAATGAAGTTATATTAAGATTGTGTTCAGATTTGTATGATTTTATGTTTTACATTCACAACAATAAATACATTGTACAGCCTATATAAGTACAATATTCCCATCTTGATAAGTAGATATACCTTGTTTGAAAGAGCATTGACAACCAACTATTGCATAATTTTAATTTCAAATTCAGTTTAGAGTTTATTTGCAACAGTTGAAATTCACATTTACTGTGTTTTTAATGAAAGAATATCTAAATGGTTGAATTTAGTAATACATGATTGTACATATAGATCTATGGTCCTATTCTACAATAAATACATTGTGTGATGTTGTGTTTTAATGTTATTGGTTGCATTTTCCTGCCAAGTTAAAGTTGACACTTTGCTGAAATTTTTTAATTGATGAGGTAATGTAGTACAGCCCATTTAACACATATATTTCATGGGCTCGGAGGTAAGTGACTTTAGTATTTAGTGGCTTCCCTTTGAAAACAACAACAAGTGTCTCCATACGGCCCAAAGCATAATCACTGCTAGCCCCAAACTGGCATTATAAAAACATTAACGCTCTTGGAAAATGTGAAATCTTGTATCGTTGGAACTATAAATTTTATAATAAACACCAGTCAGTCACAGGCCCTCGTGTCTTTCCGAGGATTCATGATTTTAATAATATTGTTTTGAGATGAGACCCGATTTCGAAATGCTTCACAGTACAATACATAATGACAAGGCCGGACACTTCTAGGGTGCACCCTACCCGACTCGTTGCCGCCGCCATGCGCTACCATCGCGATGCAATCGATTAAAACTTTATGTAAACATAATCATGGATGATTGGCCTATCGAGCAACACTCATGACACCTACCAATTCTTTATTGTTATTTCTGCAAGTCGATTGAAACCAATTTTGACTCGCAACTAAACGATCTTGACACAAATGGATGACGATATGTCCGCAAGACACAAAAGGGTTCTGGTGAAGCAAGTCCTCTGATTGGCTAACGCTTGCAAATCTGCACATTCTTTATAAATTCGCGGGAATTTTTACTTTCATCGACTGCTTGACCACACCCTCGTTTTGTGCCAAGCGAATACTTGCAAGTAAATCTTGGGATTAGCCATGTGATAATACGTTTAGCGAGCATCGGGGATATTGGCAACTGTAATGTTAAAACTGCCTTTACCTGACTGGGTTAGTTTGATTTTGTATTTTTGGTTTATATTCTCTGTCCTGTCGTAGTCTGTGAATTCTCCAAGTAAAGTATCGAGGTCCTAGTCGGAATCATCCCAGTGAATGAATTAAGTAGATCCATGGCCATGCCGAATGTTGAAACAAATATTCCAGGCTTATGACGACACGCATTTCGCTGAATGATACATGTTCTGCGATGTTGTCAGTTGACATGTGCAAATGAGAGATAAGATAAAATTAAGATTATTGTAATCAGTTTAATGGAGCTGTCCATGTAATGCTTAACTGTCAAACGCAGCCGGTGAAATCCCGCTAAGGGAATTAACTCTCGGCCCGGATATTACGCAATATTGTTTACGTGGTTACCCGAGTGCTCATTTGCGAATGTCTGCGCATTTGTTGAGCATGTGTACCGGTAGAGGGAAGTTAGCAGCAGGGTGTCGATGTGTGTATCAGTTACATGCCAGGCCGTAGCGCTGATGGTTAGTGATAAACTGTTGGGGAGGGCCGTCCCTCTATTATATGGTCTCTGGTATAACTTACCTCCGAGCATGTTGGATGAATGCCTATTGCATTGTTAAAGTCTTCTTTTGTAGCTCCCTTCTTCATAGCAATTGCATATCCTTGAGTTATCTCCCCTGCATTAGGTCCAATAACGTGGAATCCTATGACTTTCTCCTGAAAACAGAGGTTGATGTGGTTAGGTTTGCCAGTGTTATCATTGACAACTTGACCTTCCAGTGAGTGAGTGAGTGAGTTTAGTTTTATGCCACACTCAGCAATATGCCAGCTACATGGCGGGAGTATGTAAATAATCAAGTCTGGACCAGACAATTCAGTGGTTGACGTCACGAACATCAATCTACACATTTGGGATACATCATGCAGCGACCAAGTCAGAGAACACTAGTTGCTGAAAAAACAATTCTTGGTATGGTCTCCTGGTATTTCTTACTTACATTTTCACTCAAGCGGCAGATGAGCTTTGCATAACAGGCATTTTCTGACCGGCCTGGTACCGTCCATTCCAGTGGACGGAAGTTAGAATGGTATACCTGCATAAAAAATTATCATTGACATCAAAACCAGGACAATTTTTAAAGGATGTTATTCAGTACTGCTATGTATTCAACATTAAAGACTTTTCATATTCATGTGATTCACATATATCTGTTAAGACAATTGTCACATTAGTATTTGCTGAAACAAGTCCCTGGCCATTTGTCATTTGACCAACCAGTTCAACAAACAGTTGACTGATTGATTATAATACTGAGTGAGTTTAGTTTAACGCAGCACTCAGCAATATTCAGGCTATATGGCAGCGGTCTGTAAATAATTGAGTCTTGACCAGACAATCCAGTGATCAACAACATGAGTATCGATCTACACAATTGGGATACGATGACTTGGCAACCAAGTCAGTGAGCCTGACCACCGGATCCCGTTAATCGCCTCTAAGACAAGCATGGGATACAGAAGACCAATTCGAAACAGGATATTCACGGGTATCAACAAACAGTATCATTGCAGCTGTAAGATTGACCTACTTATCACAATGTATATTACACAATTTCATCAGAATATCTTAATATTTTTTGAATAACCAGATCCAAAGCAACAGTGAGTGAGTGAGTGAGTATGATTTTACGCCGCTTTTAGCAATATACCAGCAATATCACGGCAGGGGGACACCAGAAATAGGCTTCACACATTGTGCCCATGTGGGGATTCGAACCCGGGTCTTCGGCGGGACGAGCTGACGCTTTAACCACTAGGCTACCCCACCACCCCCGAAAACAACAGCACCAAGATACCATGAACATAATATGTTCCACAACTTGCTTCCATAAATCAAAGGGCACTGAAACTGACTCATTATCAAGATAGGCAGCTCTTAAAATGTTGGTTCCTGTTAAGCTCTTCTCCCCAGGAATCCCCAAATATTTCTAGATCCATGTGAGAAAGCTACACACCTCAATGTCTTCAGCTCCAAATTTGTCAATGGCATCTTCCTCTGCGCGTACCCAATGGCTCCGTACTCCAACGGGGTGAAGACTGTGGTTGCTACGTTGACATAGTCACACTGAAACGGTTCATGGAAAATAAGTCTCGCAGATTATTATCCAAGCTTGTGTTAAACATATTAAATGAAACTGAATTCCGGTATTTCCCACCCGAGGGTAGTTCATGTGTCTTGCTTGCAGGCTTGGTTGGTTGGTTTATTGTTTAACACCGTGCTCAGCAGTATTCCAGCTAAATAAACGAGTCTGGACTAGACAATCCAGTGATCAACATCATATCATGAGCATCGATCTATGCAATTGGGATACAATGACATGTCCCAACGAAGTCAGCAAGCCTGACCACCCGATCCCATTAGTCACTTCTTACAACAAGCACGGGTTGCTGAAGACCAATTCTAACCTGGATTTACAGACCGCAGCCATATAGCTGGAATATTGCTGAGTGCGGTGCCAAACAACAACCAAACAATATAATTCCAGGAAATCACTCCAGTGTTTGCACCAACAGAAGTCTACTGATACTAACCAGGACTTTGGATTCATCATACAATCTCCGGGCCAGGAGTTTCCCTGCCTGGATGGCCACGGGGGTCAGCTGCAGTTTACCGTCAACAATATCACCAATGGCGTAGATGTTGGGGACACTGGTCTGTTCCCGGTCATCACAGATTACACGCCCATTTCTGGAACAAAAACACTATTATATCTCAAATTGAAAGTAACTAGTCTGCTAAAACAGATACTTCAAACTGTTGTCTGATGCACTTGAGAACATTGAGACTAATGCCTGGTTCACATTTGGCCTGTGATTGGTCAACAACCCCCTTAAACTGCCCGAAGCTCCAAGCATCGGCCGTACGGTTATCGCACGATTCTATGGGCGCCATAGCCTTTACGATTTTGACAAACCAGACAATCCAGTGATCAACAGCATGAGCATAGATCTGCACAATTGTGAACCAATGAAGCCTCAATGAAGAATTTCCAACAGTGATGTTTAGATTTTGATTAAAACAGTCATGAAAACTTTTCATATGTCATGAAAAGGGTATGTAATAAATATTGAATGTCCTACTAGAGCATTTGGACTTACGTATTGAATAAGATGTCGTGGTAAGGAGAAAAAACTCATTCTTTGAACTCTTTTCTTGCCCACCACATCTTCGAGTTCAATACACTAGTATGACGTTTAACATACATACATGATACGGTTACACAAGGTAATATTAATGACACATGTTGGCCAGAAACATCAGTGCAGCACAGGCCTGAGATTGAAACGCAGCCAAAACAACCCCAAAAAACACATACTGCCAAAACTGCCTGTTTCTCTGCAGAGTGATATATCGACTGTCCACCCAAAATATTGGAACAAAGCTACACTTACTTTGGGTTGAGCTTAACACCAGCATTCTCCAGTCCAATGCCTGATGTACATGGGTCTCGGCCAATAGCATACAGGATCTGCAACAAACAAAAATATCGGATAATATAAGGGACTTTTTAAAGCTGGCATTTGGAATGAGTGAGTGAGTTTAGTACTACGCCGATTTTAGCAATATTCCAGCAATATCACGGCGGCGGATGACAGAAATGCGCTTCACACATTGTACCCATGTGTGGACACACACAACACACACACACACACACACACACACACACACACACACACACACACACACACACACACACACACACACACACACACATTTGGAATAGAAGTAACCAGTTTGAAAGTTTGTGATATAAAGCTTAAGAAAGCCAATATCAATTTCTGGTTAATCACTCATTGATCTCCTAAAGTTTGTGATGGGCATGATCGGTACCAGTGTGTCTTCAGAGGCACCTGTGATACGAGGACTGTAGAGTATATCGATTAGTAAGTTAGTCAAAATATCATGTCGAATTGTTTCAGCAATATGGCAACCGTGAAACATTAGCATTCACAAATATTTCCTAGTCAGCTAGACCGACATGGATACCAATAGGGCTGCAGCAATTCGGTATGATATGTTTTATTTAATAAACTTTGAGTTAAATGAAAATCTGATGTTTTTACTTGTATGAAGAATCGAATCGAAAATGATCGAATTGAGGGTCCAATATCGAAAATCGAATCGAATCGTGGTCTGGGTGAATCGTTGCCCTAGATGCCAAATGTAATCAACTTACGGTATTGTACTCCTCCACGATCTCCTGGCCCTCACGTCCAAGGGCAGTAACTCTGTACCTCCCCGGTGTGCCCTCTTCTAGCCGCTCTATCTTCTGTGGAACAGCGTTGTAGATGAACTTCAGCCCGCTTTTCTCCATGTAGTCACCGATTTTCTCTGCCATCTGTTGGTCAAACCCTCGTAGGAGGATCGACCGCACCATGACTGTTGTGTCCAGCCCCAGACCATGGAGGAACCCAGCGCACTCTAGTGACACATACGAGGCTCCAACACACAGCGTCTTGCCGGGACAGTATGGCAGGGAGAAGAGATCATCACTGTAATGAAGAAATCTGGCATTATCACATGATCCATGGGGAAAAAGTGTGTTCTTTTTTCATTCTAACAAGAGGTTGAATGAGTTTGTTATTTCAGCAATATTCCATCAATATCATGTACCCATGAGGGAACATTTTAACCACTAGGCTACCCCACTGCAATATTCCTAAATTTCTAGATCCATGCTCATGACGTCAATCACTGGATTCAACTATTTACAGACTGTCCTCGACGTAGCAAACAAAAACAAACTCATTATAAGTTTGCAGCCATTGCAATGATGAACATTGGTTCCCAGAATTGATCTTCAGTAACCCATGCTTGTTGGAAGAGGCAACCAACGGGATCGGGTGGTCAGGCTCACTGACTTGGTTGACACATGTCATCGTATCCCATTTGCACAGATCGATGCTTATGCTGTTGATCACTGGATTGTCTGGTCAAGACTCAATTATGTACAGACTGCCGCCATAGAAAGCTGGAGTGCGGCATTAAACAACAAACCAACCAACATGCATTGCGCCAGCCTCCGTACACTCAGAGCATGCTCAAAGTGCACATATTTCATACTTATACTCTCAGCTCCCTGAGAATCATACAAAGCTACCATGTCAGATGCTAGAAGGTGAACCCTGTACCTTGTTATACTGTACTCCTTGACTCCAGGGATGTCAGGAAAGCGAGGTCGTTCCCCTGTTGCGATGATGATGGTCTCTGTGGTTAATTCCTGCACTTTCCCACGTTTGTTTGTCGCCTGTGAACAGAAATTGAACAAACAATCAGCAAAACTTTCACAAGAACCTGAGGAGCATATCACAAAACCATAAACCAAGAAATTAGTGGGAAATGTGCAGTTTGAGAAACATCGCTCTCAGCAATATTTCAGCGACATACAAACAGCTTGCAACATATTCCAGACAAACGAGTTTCTGATATTATATACAATGATCCATTCCTTAAGGGTGTGACAACACACGATCACAAAGTCAAGTTTCCCAATTTCTCTTACAACCAGTACTTGCTGCTGAGGAATTATCCAAAAGCCCACTTGAACCAACATCCAGGCATGAAGATTAGGCCAGAATCAAACAGGGTCCATTTTACTGAGTTCCAAAAAATATTAAACTTAAATTAATCTTTTCACATGTCATGGAAAGCTAACACATCCTGAGTAAAACTAACATCTGATTGAAGTACTACATGACTGAGACAAACCTTGATCTTGTGAGGTGTAATTATTTCACCATATCCGTTGATGTAGGTGACATTCTTGTCTCGCAGCTGCACCCGGTAACCCCAGTTGAGGGAGCCGATGTAATCCTGAAATATGTAACAAAGTAAAATACTGTGTCACTGACTTAACGAACTCAGAGGACCTGCCCGCTATAAGTTGTTCGATCTCAAAGCTGAACCGAATTTCAGTCAAGTTACAATGTTCCAGGTTAATGTAAAAGGACACAGCACAGAGTGTGGGCATGTCGAAGGTATTTACCAGTTGAGAAAAAACACAGTAAAATGTACTGTCTCCCTGTGTAGATACGGGTCAGAATTGGTCTTCAGTAACCCATGCCTGTCATTAGAGTCGACTAACAGGATCGGGTGGTCAGGCTCACTGACTTGATTGACACATGTCATCGTATCCCGATTGCGCAAATCAATCCACATTCTCGATTGTCTGATCCAAACTCAATTATTTACAGACAGCCACCATATAGCTTGAATACTGCTAACTGTGGCATATAACAACACACATAAATAATAAATGGGGGGCAATTTTGCCCTGAAGTTTACATGAAAACCACTACAAACTTAACTGAAAATATCATGATACATGCCATCAGTTTATTAAACAACAGCAATGTTCACTAGAGCTGTTTAACACACGTTTGAAACTGGCTGACAAATCAAAGCATGTAAACCCTGACAACAATTACCTGAATACCGTCCCTCATGACGTCCCACTTGTGACTTGGTTCTACAATAAAAACATTTGAAAATTACCATGCTGTTGAAAGCTGAAATTTTTGGTCATAAACATTGTCTCAATCATTTTTAATACTTGTAATATCATTCTCTTCCCACAGAGGTTACTTGTCATATCTTCCTACGTAACCTCTGTTCTAATACGGCCATATTTCCCGGTTCTCGTAAAATCAACTAGCGGCAAAAGATTGCAACACGAATTATCTCCCTTCTTTCTATCCAATCAGAACACGTGTTACATCGACTTAGATTCAACTTGACTAAACACAAGCAAATGTGGGGTCACAAATATCCCCAATCTGCCGGGGACTTGTGTTGATGTTACACACAAGACGTTTAATGGCTAGCTTGTCCGTTGTCAACGAGGGCGATGGAGACGCCACTGATCCGCCATAACATGACTGAGTTCTGTCTAGTAGAAACGTTTGCGCATCGCGCAGGGGAAGAGGTTTAGTTTTCTCGAAGCATACGGAAATTACTGAGGCCTTGCGAATGATCACTTTTGAAACAACGTCGCTGATTGCACAACTAAATCTGATTGCCTCCAACCACGAGTCTTGAACGCTCACACCATGAAAGGGCCGTATTAGAACAGAGGTTACGTAGGAAGATATGACAGGAGTAACCTCTGTGGGAAGAGAATGTTGTAATATATGAATTTCAAGCTTCAAGATTCTTTAATTAGCATACAAGGCCTCCCGCCCAGAATACATGTGTAGGTATTTTGGTTAAGTTAATTCTTTATCATAACATAAGTACAATAAGACAAATGTATAAATAAATTCAAAATACAATCCCAAGCCATCGAAGCATTGCAATTTATTCAAACATCATCCACAATTTTATTATTATCAATTATTTATAATCACTGAATTTCATTAGATAACTGAGACAATCTTTTACAACATTTAAGTCCATGATATTTTCAGCTGACTGACCTGTGTTTCCCGTAGTCCCAACCAAACTTCTTGGCATCTTCATGTTCCTCACCTGCAAAATGGAACAGAATAAATGTCAATGCATGTGAGTGAACTGAGTTTAATGCCACTTCTACCAGTACAAACACGGTATGCCAGATTTTTTGGGCGATGACTAATAGTAATCATTGTCTCAGAGCTTCACTTCCGTTACATAAGTTTCATAATCAGCGCGTATCTTCCATCACTCATGACAATCTGATCCTGGTACATCAAAGGGAAGTCAATCTGAGCATCAATCTGCGCATCAATCTGCGCAACTGGGATGGGAACCGATGACATGTGTCAACCAAGCCAGTGAGCCCGACCACCCGATCCCGTTAGTCGCCTCTTACGACAAGCATGGGTTACTTGTGAATATGAATGGTAACCACAAACATTATAAGAAGAACCTTACCTAGCATCGACGCCCGGTGCATCAGCTTCTTTGGGATGCAGCCAACATTTACACATGTTCCTCCCAATCCTGTTTACAAACAAAACAGGTCCTGTCATAACATTCTACTGGAAATTATTCTAATATTCAACAAAAATATACATTCGTTTCACCTTATGCTCATTCTGTTAATTAATGAAATAAATTTCATTCCTAACTCCAGACACTACTCTCTGTGAGCATAGATGTAATCAAAATTCCAGAATCCTGGCACTGTGAGCAGAGATGTCATCACATTACCAGAATCCTGACACTGTCTGTGAGGTGAGGTGAGGTGAGGTGAGGTGAAATTGGGTATAACGTCGTGCTTGAGAATATTTCACTCATATGACGACATACATGCGTGTGTATGTGTATGTGCGGCTGCTTGTACTAGCCCAGACTCAAACTGGTTTTATAGTGCTAGCCCACTGAGATACCATGCCGCAGTGAAGCATGAATACCCCACTCAGACACATTATACTGACTCCGAGCCGACCAGTCCTTGTTGTACCCATTAATGCCGAGCACCAGGCAGAGACCAACAAGTACCATATTTTAACGTCTTTTGGTATGACGCAGTCAGATATCGAACCCGCGACCTTCCGCTCTCCGGGCGGACGCTCTAACCACTACACCATGGAGGCAGTCACTGTCTGTGAGAGTAGCAGTCACAGGTCATCCCAATGCTGGTATCCAGAAACTACTGTCAGTGAGAGAAGCTTGACAATGCTGCTTAATGAATGAAAGTATATATTCTTAGCTACATCATGATTATTGACCTGTGAATATTACTACATGCTGTGTTTTGACACAAATACTCACCCCATGCCGTTCCCTGAGGACTTGGTTTCACAAAATCCAGAAGCGCCACTTTCTTTCCCAGCTGTGCTGCTTCCTGGAATACAGTTATGAAAGATGCTGAGGTGAAATTGGGTTTAATGTTGCATTCATTGTACCAGTGTAGAAAATTAGCTAAAATTTTATATCTGTTTCTCTAGGAGACACTTGAAAGTCTTCAATCATCTTGTTTTCAGTATGCAACATGGCAAATCAACAAACACAGTCACCATTATAAGGTGTCACTATTCAAAACTGTAAACCAAAAGTCACCGTGTTCTTTAATCTGATTGGTTGAAAAACATGATCGAATGGCATTCGATTCCCAGAAATTGCAAGACTGTTCACTGCGTATTGACACGTACAAATATCACACACAATTGTATTGTTGCGTCGTCAGCAGTGGTGACGTCGTTCAAATCATATTGTGACGTAAAGTCGGAATGACGTTACAAATGAGCAGTTCCAGATGTTACCACAGGAACCAGCTGAAACAGCCAGCTGATGACACTTCACTGCTGTACCCGTACTCGATGTCAATGAGTGCAGACAGTCAAACCTATGTGGGCCTTTTGGTTTACTTTTGTGTTTAGAATGTCGATAAACATCATGTGTTGGCCAATGTCCAGGTGTTATTGAGTATTTGAAGCACAGGAATGTTTCATTTGAAACCTCCGCTAACGCCATCGGTTCCAAATGAATTCCCGTGCTTCAAATACTCAATAACACCCGGAAATTGGCTAACACATGATGTTTATCTCCTAACTGACCATGAAATTCAAAGGGTCATAGTCCACGGTGCTAAAAGTCAAAGACTAATGCATTCCATGATTCACTTACCAAACCCCTTATTTTCAAACAGTAACTGTAAACAGTTAAAAATTCATGCTTTGCCTCAGAAAAACAAATAAAATATAAAACTTTAACTCTTTCAACACCAGTCAACCAGAGGCATTTACTGCCATGACACCGAGTTCCCAGAGACTCTGAGGTCATAGATGAAGCCTATGTTTATGAAGGAAATTATAAGCTTGTAAAACGTTATTGCTACTACATCCCATACACCATTTAAAAGATCTAATCCTACTGTTAATAAATATGAAGTTTATTTTTATAATATTATTCAAATAATACAACTACAACTTAAATAAATTTATATTTGAATGAAAATGCAAGCTTACATTTGTAACTTCCAGATAAACCACGAAAGGAGCAAAAACTATGGCGATTTTTTCCATTTTGTGACATGTCATAAATTGCCCGTGCCTTTTTCCTTTTATATTTTCATTTTACGTAATCAGAAAATTATTATAAAAGATTTCTTAAACAATATGTATGGTAAGCCTATTTCCCGATATCTGCGGCTTTCCACTCGGTAAAATGACATAACAACTGAAAATACCTCCGTTTTGAAGCTTTATGAATAACATGCAGCGGCAAATCGCGTTTGATGTCGGGCATCGGAAGAAAAGCTCTGAACATCAACAATATCACTGTACCCTTGCCAAGAGTATTTTCACAGTTGTAAGAAGCGATTTTATTGGATAAAGATTGGTTTCTAATGACGCTTTTTTCACACAGTCTGCTATAAGGGTTGTGATTGGTCAAAATCAGACCATTGACCTAAGGCAGCCAATCATATAACGGCAATGGATACCGTCCTCGTAAACGAAATCTTTTAGATTTGGACAAAAGTTTTGGGTAAAATAATGCTATTCTGAACATATTAAGCAAGAAATCGCTACCAATACATAAATATGTAATTTTTAGAGTAAAATTGATATTTTATACTTATCCTGACTCATGCTCTTTTGCTTGTCTTCTTCTTCTTGCGAACATAGTGGAACACTTGTATCTCCTTATTTGAAGCTCCCTTCAAAATAAAATCACTAATTGGTACTCACCACGAGTTGCTCCCCTTTGTCTCCCCTGGAGGGAAAAGGTGTCGCCACCCTCTGGCCATGTGCTCCACTCTCTCCTGATTTGTGAGCCCAACACTTGAATTTACAGGAAATCCAAAGTGTTATGTGGGGAGGATGGGAGGAGACTAACCTCATGAGTCAGGATAAGTATAAAATATCAATTTTACTCTAAAATTACATATTTTTCCTTATCCTGACTCATGCTCTTGCTTGTAGCATCCTACAGACGGAGGTGGGTAACAGAATACTTTGGATTTATAATTAGTGATTTTGTATAGATATACTGTAATATCCCCTACGGAACTTCATGAAGCCTTAGATTTAGGATGTTTCCTGTATAAAGAAAACCATAGGTTATATAAAGCCATTAAAGGGGAATTACATTATGAATATATTGAACAATACATATAAATTATATATATATATATATAGGTGACTCTGATAGAGGCACTGAAATTGACTATATCAAGTATATGCTTAAGGTTGAATACTTAAGCTGAACATATATACATAGCCCTAAAACTCCTTAGAGTTATAAGCTAGATGAGTATGTATAAAATACATATTAATCTTGTGAGGCTAATATTTTAAGCCCTCGAGGGACTGTCAGTTGCTGGCGAGGACCAGTGGTCGAAATGGTGAATGCCAGAGACATCTTCTGTAGTGATGTCTCTTAGGTAGTGATTAGCAAATACCATGTTAGATTTCCAATAGCATCCTTCCATAATCGTGTTCAAAGGAACAGTTACCGTGTAGAGAAGTAGGGTAGAGGCCAGTGCCTTGATCTCATGTGGATTTGATGCTGTTGGTGGGTCCAAGCCTGCTGCCTTGTAGGCACGCAGGAGAATGACAGTCCTTATCCAAATAGATATTGTGGTCCGTGACACTTCTGTTTGATTAAGTAGGCGATAATGGGATGAATAAGCGTTCGAGAAATCCTCTCCTTGTTTTGGATCGTCATTAAATAAACTTTGACGCTCTTACGGGACACAGTGATAGGTCTTGTGTATCTTGTGATCCGAGAATAGAGGATAGCCGGATGTGGAATAATCTGTCTGGTTGACCTGGCAGTTGATTCTTTTGCAATGAAATCCATCTTAATCCGAGGGTGCGCTGTGTTATGATTGTCATCAAACTGTATCCTCTCGTAATCCAGAGCTTGAATTTCCAGACATTCTTGCTGCTGTGGCTAGCGATAGCAGAAACAATGTTTTCTGTGAGAGAAATTCAAAGTTTGTCGATTCAAAGGTTCATAGACCTCACTCGTGAGGTGTTGTAACACTACATTCAGATCCCAAGCTGGGCGTGGAACTTCAGCTTTTGGTCCTCCAATCCGGAAAGCTCGTGAGGTAAGGCCAGTAACTCTGGAGATCTTGTCAATTTGACACCCGTTCTCATGGTGATTACAGAGCTAAGCTGCGCAAGATATGTTGATATCGTTGAACCTTTTAAATGTTTGTTTTGGCGTAGGTAACACAAATAGTCTGCCACTTGAGGTTGTGAAGCTCTCTTGCTGTAAACCCTTTCTTTGTTGCATAATTTTGAAACTGTGCCACTTGTCGCCGCAGGTACAAGTTCTGAGTTGAGTAACGTAAGGCAAGCGTGACTGCTTTTGCCGCCCTGGCAGAATATCCTCTCTTGTTTAAACACATTTGTATACAGTCCATACGTGTAGTTGGAACATTGCTGGGTTTCAAAGTGCACTTGTTTGGTGTGAGGATGAATTAACAGGTTTGGCGCGGCTTGGGTAGCTCCAGTGTTGGTTGACCCGATTTCTTGAATTAGTATGGGAAACCACGTTCTGGCCGACCAGTGGTAGCGACCAAAGTGAGTTGTAGGCTCTGTGTTTGTCTGATTTTCTGTAATACTTGAGGTATTATTGCTGGCTGGTGAAAGCAATGCACGCATTGAGGCCTTCCCATGATAGACTTAGAATCCGCTGCCCAAGCTTGGGGTCTGGGACTGGTGACACGAATGTAGGTAGCTGATTGTTGAATCGCGTGGCCGAATAGGTCTATTAGCGGCGCTCCTAATTGCTTGATTATCTGTGCAAAATTTCCGGTTGATCATCCACTCTGTCGGTGATGGTAGATGAGGCCGAGAGAGAGTCTGCTAGTATATTTCTGGCTCGGGAATGTGCACTGCTCTGACATGTAGATTTAGATCTTGTATTAAATCGAACAGTTGGAAAGCTTAGGTTCAAAAGGTTCATCGATCTCGTTGAGCCTTGCTTGTTTATGTAGAACGCCACTGTCGAATTGTCTGTATGGATCATTAGGCGCGCATTTTGTAGAAATGTGCTCCAATGTAGAATGGCGTTGATTACAGCTTTCTGTTTATATGGAGTTTGCATTCTTGCTGATTCCATAACCCTGATATCGTGGTTGGTGAGATGAGCTCCCAACCTTGGAGTGACGCAGCGATCTACATACAGATGGGTTTTGTATTCCTGCTCTGCTAAACAAATCCCTTCCCAGACATTCGATTTCTTGGTCCACCATAGTAGATGTGGTCTGAGATGTTTCGTAGACTGAATGGTTGTACATCGTTGAGATGTGCGTTGATGAGGACCTGTAGGGGACGTAACTGTAATCTGCCTGTGACAGTACTGTCTTGGGCTGATGTGAGAAGACCTAGTAGGCTCTGCCATTGTCGCAGTGGTAACGAGAGAGAGTAGAGCTGGTGGAATGGTCTGTTGTATCTTGAGCCAACGGTCTTCTGGTACCATAATACGGTTCGCGATTTGTGATGAATCGAATACCTAGGAACTGTAGGTCTTGGCGATGGTACTAGGTCCGACTGCGTAAGTTTACTAACCAACCTAGTTGTGTTAGTAGCTTTATGATGTAATTTAACTGTAGTTTGAGAGCGCGAGTGGATCTTGATCTACTTGTATCCGTCGTCGTAGGTAAAGCGCGACTGCGTAGCCCTTGGACGATGTAGAAATTTGATAATCGGTTTCGTTATCCTCGTGAATAGCCAGGGGCTGATGATATTCAATGGGATTACTTTCCACTGGTAATGTAGCCCTTCTAGAGTAAATCGTAGGTATTTCCTGGAATGGGATGAATGGGATGTGCAAGTAGGCATCCTGTAGATCTATGCTGCCCATGTAGTCCATAGGGACGAATCATCTGGTGTAACTGAGGTAAATGTATCATCGCGAAACTTCCCGGTGGTTTCGCGAGATAGTTCTTGTTGAAAAAGCTCATGTTGTAGATGAGTCTGTATTTCTCCGTGGAGTTTTTCTTGGGAACCAGGAAAACTGGGGAGTAGAAACCTGGTTCGACGCGTTTGCTTGATCTATTACTTCTATGGCCTGTTTGGATAGGAGTGATGAGACAGCCTCTTTTATCTTTGGTAGTTGTCGCGCTTGTAAATCGAACTTGGGGGGTTTGATTGTCAGCGGAGGCTTGTCCTGTAGAGGGATACGAAATCCGTGTTGAATAATGTTGGAGACGTAAGGATCTTGCAGTATTCCCCAGTTTTCCCAGTGTAGTTGGAGGCGTCCACCCACTTGAGCTGGTTGTACTGGAACGGCTGGGGGTGGAAGACTCCAGTCGTTCCGAACCTGTGTTTCAGCGTCTATAATTGCGGGAACCTCTGGGTGTCCTGCCTCTTCCTGATCCTCCTCTATAGTTGCCATATGGGCGCCGAAAAGAATCTTTACCTCTAGAGCTGGCTATCTTCCTGTCTCTTGCTCTTTGTAGGCCCGTGAACTTAGATCTGCCTGAGTATCTTTGTGAAGTCTGACGAATGACGCTGGCTAGTGTGTCCATCGATCTAATCCTTAGAGACTTCCTTGGCGACCTTGTCGATTTCTCCGTCAAAGATGGATGTTGTCGACCACGGGGCTGTATAAAGTGGGGCTGTAAAGTTCTCCCCCCAATTACAGGAGGCAAGGAGGCCTTGACGACGAGCTAAGGTCAGTGCTGCTGAAACAGATGTAAGATGATCCGTTAAAAACTGCTGATCTTTCTTTTGCATAAGTAAGGCAGAATAAATCATTCTATCATCTTCCGTCGTGGAATCCCGAATCTAGTAATAAGAGTCTCATTGATCGCCCCTAGATCTATTTAACCCAAAGAACATCGTCTCTGCCATGGTTTCTATATGAGCCAACTGCGATCATCCATCTTGTAAATCTTGTTCTTTACATCGCTGATGATCTTATAGTTCTCATCGATGTCCTGGGCCTTGTAGAAGGAGTCCATGTTATGCGTGGAGAACTTCTTGGCTTGAAAGTTGGGTAGATGTGGTATCTGAACTTTCGTAGCTTTCTGGAAAGCTGCATCTAGATTCTGTGGCACTGCCGCAATCGGGTCGATCGGGGGTAGAGTGATTGCATCTGGATCATCTTCCTTCATCAAATACGTCTGAGCTGTATTGCCACTTTTAGATGGTGATGTGAGATCTAGGTTATTGACCATCCAATACCGTATCTCTGCATCAGAAAATATGATTCCTCCATCATCCTCAAAACCATCATCATTAATAAATTGTAGATGCTCTTCGACTGCGTGTAGCTGTCTGTATCGTATATCTGATGAGGTTTGTGGCATCTAGTTGACTTGTGCGCGCTTCTATGTGGAGATCTGATGGGTGATCAACCTGGTGATGAACGGAGTGGAGATCGCCTATGGGATGATCTTTCGAGACTTGTGAGGTGAATGTTGATAGCTTCGCCAAGCTCTTCGGCAGTCCCTCGATGTTCTTCTAGACGATGAAGATCTGGAATCATATGTCCTTCGCGAATGCCTTCGCGAAGCTTCATTTGCGTCCGGGTCCGGGGATCGATGATATGACCTTCGCGAAGGCTTCCGTGATGTCTGATGGTCTGAGTCCATATCTAGAGATGAAATCGAAGATGGTGATGATCTCCCTCCTTTCGCTAAGGCCTTCGCCGAAGGCTGTACATCTAGGTCCTTCGTCCAAGGTGGAAAGGGACTTCTTCGCGAAGGTGACATCGCCTTGGCTGCTACGCTGACGGGGGTGCCTCTGGGTGTTGTTCACGCTGGAGCCTTCAAGCTCGGACCGCTTGGCGCAGTTTGTAGTGGTCCTCCATGATGTTCATAATCTGCCGATCATGTCTTCTGGGATGATCTAGACGAAGTCGCCGGGCGCCTTTTCTGCATGGGGTTCACATCAATGACGCCTGACGCCGGTGTAGAGGCATCAGGCTGCATGGAGATCTCTGCAGAAGTCACAGTCGCTGACACCGTCGCTTCTTCTGCCGTAGAAGTCGGGATGATTATCGGCTGATCATCGAGAGGCCCAACTCTGCTGCTGGAACGATCTCGGCTGAGAAAGTTCTTGCTGTCTTCAGAATTTTCCTTTGGAAGTCTGGCGCTGCCCTGGGTGTCCTCAATCTGCGCTGGAGACGACGATGAGGCCCTCTTAGACTTAGTCTGCAATGACGGGATGTCTGGGGAGGCCGGTCGCTTCTTCGAGGTAACGGACTGCGTCCCACGCTCCTCTCGCCGCAGGGGTCTCTAGCAGAACACCAGACGGGAGAGGGTCGATCGCTAGCAGCTGACTGGAAGGAATATCTGGACTCTCTGCCATGTTTTGCCTCTTTGTTTATGGATCTATCTGCAGCACGCCTTAAGACGCAAAGATGATATTTATTAAATGCAGAATGAGATAAATTAATGCAGTAACTGCAACGTGAATTAAACGCATTAACAGTAGAACAACTAGGGCATATTACATGGATCGGAGGCAGAAAAACGTAATCTACAAATCGCATACAGATTTTCATGAACGTAAAGTTAGCTGAACAATCACTTAATACACGTGAATAAACAGTAGAAATACGATAATTAATCAATACAAATAGTAAAGGATACTAGCTATACCTCTATAGTAACCTATGAGAGGTAAAAACTAAGAGATTATCAAAGGATATGTGTGTAAGGAGACACAAGGCACTCTCACATCCTGCTCACTGGGCGAAGAAGGAGAGAGTGAAGCACATGGCCAGAGGGTGGCGACACCTTTTCCCGCCAGGGGAGACAAAGGGGAGCAACTCGTGGTGAGTACCAATTAGTGATTTTATTTTGAAGGGAGCTTCAAATAAGGAGATACAAGTGTTCCACTATGTTCGCAAGAAGAAGAAGACAAGCAAAAGAGCATGAGTCAGGATAAGGAAAAATTATGGAACTTATTGGACGTATCGTGCTAGGTTATGACCTGTGACAAAAATGCTTCATGTATGTATTTTCGCATTAAACATCGTGTCCGAGCGTGAAGATTGAGGCGGCAAGAGTCCAGATGTCACTTGTCAGTGACTTGACTTGCATTACATGATCGCACAAAAAGATGGAAATAGTAATTTTATATGTAAGTTTGACAACTTTTATGAATGCTGTTGTTGATTTTATTCATTAGTTTATTCAATTTATTTAATAATTTCCTCGAACATCATTACTTTGCTCTTTGACAATGTTATTGTGGACCCTGCGTCAAGCATGTGTCCGAGAATCGTTGTTTTCAATAATATTGCTAAAAATAGTTTATAATTTTAATTCTGCTGATAATATATGATAAATTGAAATTTAATAAGTGTTTTCAGACATTGTGAAATGTGATAGATTTGATATATGAATCAAAAGTCAGGTAGGTTCCTAAAATTATGTCTCATTTTGACGTGACTACTGCCTGGCCGATTAATCGGCCTCCGGTGTCTGGGGACTCATAACATTGTGGCCGATTATTCGGCCTGCAGTGTTGAATGGGTTAATATTGATTTTACATTTATTTCAAAAACCTCTTAGATTTATTTCCTTTAATACTGGTATAGCCCCTTGTCCTACAATGATCATTCGTCTTACCTTCGAGGCAGCAAGTCCACCTGAACCTCCTCCTATCACAACCAGATCATACTCATAGGTGACGCTTGGTGTTGACACCAGCTCCATCAGCTTGCTGTTACGGTGGAGCTTCAGTACCGAGTCACATCCACCTGGCAACAACAAAATCAACAGAGGCTACATTTCACTGACATTATTGTTTACCAACAGCATATGGATACATAATATAAGGCCCTTGAAACTGGTAATTCGGGGTCCTCTAGAACCCCAGTCTTGCAGATTAAGAAAAAGCCTGCAGTATTTTGTGAGTGAGTGAGTTGCGTTTTACGCCCCTTTTAGCAATATTACAGCAATAACACGGCGGGGGACACCAGAAATGGGCCTCACACATTGTACCCAGCTGTATTTTGTGAGTGAGTGGTTATTGCTGAGAGCATCATCAGCCATTCACTGAACCTACATTTAGGAAGGAACTTCCATACGCGTAAGCTTGGCTATCAAGCAACATTATCTAATACCACAAAGTTACCCTTTTCCTCACGAAGATTAACATAATTGTTTCTCATAAAGGTTATGACAGCACATGAAATTATGTCTTAATACTATAGAAATGATTTACTGAAAAATGTCCAGATCTAATGCCTGGCATCCACGGAGAGTTACCTCCCCTGTCGTCTCACTTACCAATATGGTTTCCATTGATGAATACGTTAGGCACGGTTTTCTGTCCTGTCATCTCAAACAGGCCAGTCTGGATAGCGCTCATATTGTCTGTAACAATAAGATTTATCTACTGTAGTTCAGTCTTCACTGATGCTGCTAAGAAAATGTAAATCCATGTGTGTTATTCTAGTGCCAACTTCAGAGAAATTGACATCGAGAGCAATGTTCGGTTTAGTTTACACAAAAGTGGCTGTCACAGACTGTTGTTACATCACCCTCAGCAATATTACAGCTAAATGACAAATAGTAAATATTCAAGTCTGGACCAGACAATCCAGTGACTGATATTAAGAACAAACATCTGTCATATGGGTACATGCCATAACCAACAAAGTTGCTGAGTCTGTCCAGTGACCACCCAATCTACTAACTCGCCACTTATGACAAGCATGATTTACTTGAAACGCTTACTCTGGACAAAACAGCAAATGAATGAGGCACTTCACCGATGTGATTCATGTTAACAACGTATTCAGCAATATTCCAGCAATATTACTTCAGCCTGCATTGGCAAACAAGTACACACTCAGGCAAACCATTGAACCAGGTCACCCCATCAAACATCATGCTTTCTGTCAGTAGCTCTAGTAGACCTCTTACCTAACTCGTCTATTTCAAGAGCTGTGTATTCAACAGTCAGGGTGTTGAACAACTTCTTCACCTACAATAGTTCAAATATATATGGATAAGAGGCAGACAAATACACTTTACATCAAGTTCACCACATGGCAATCATAGAGAAGCTTTTGGGAAGTTAGGTATGAAAACAAGAGTTCTTGTGGTGTGTTGGCTAAAAAAATATGGGAGTTATTTATTTTTCTAATCATCCAAATAACACCATAGTGTTTCCCCCAGGATCCAAAGAGCGCAGGGCAAGCCAATTTCAAAAGGGGCACCCCTATTCCAAAAAGAGCATGCAGTGACATATTTCCAAGTATTATCATGATTATGTTAGTTATCCATGCATATGATTCTTAAAGCCTTAATAGCACAGTTATTTCACTTATTTCACTTAAAGGTCACATGCAACCACAAAATCAAACATAATAAAAACACAATTATCACTTATTCATGACATATAATATACATTGCTGGTTATGAAAAAACATATAAACAAAATTATAAGCATACAATCGCAAATCAAAAGTGCAAAATTGTTTACTTGGGTTTACCTCCCAAGAAACGAAGCAGCTGGGATACCGAACCCAGTCAGAGCGGGTGGGTGTGCACTCAAGTGTAACGGCTGGTTCATTTGCAGATGCCCTCACTGCTCATTGTGTGTATATATAGTGATGTTGGGTTTTGTAAATACATGCTCACTTTTTGTGTATAACATTTTGCAACAACAGACATCATAACATGTCATGTGTACAAGTATCACACCTGCCTGTCTGTGTAATTACAGGGGCGGTGGGGTAGTCTAGTGGTTAAAGCGTTGGCTCGTCACGCCGAAGACCCGGGTTCGAATCCCCACATGGGTACAATGAGTGAAGCCCATTTCTGGTGTCCCCCGCCCTGTGATATTGCTGGAATATTGCTAAAAGCGGCGTAAAACCAAACTCAGTCAGTCAGTCAGTCAGTGTAATTACATAATGTGACGGAGACTGAACTCGGGCCATAAATCAATGCATTTTGTTTATGGTGTATAACCTGATTGGTGTTAAGTTCAAATTGCATGTGGTCAGTGATCGCAGTTGTGTATTGAATATGGTCATTAGCAGACAGGCAGGCAGACACATAGGTGTCAATAAAACAGGCATTGAGTTTTGTCTGTGACAACGACATACCTATATCACAGTTAGAAATTCTGTCAACGCAAAATAATGACATTGCTTTTAAGTATCGAACTGAGAATGTGACTCGGTAAGAAGAACGAGTGGTGAAATAGACAAATGAAATTATATAAACAGTTAATCTACTGTCATAACATATAAAAAGCTTGCGCCTGTGAAATATCAACAAAACATTAGAAATATAGCTCACACCAAAGCCTTCACCGAGTATTCACCGGACAACCCGCGTCCAAGCTGCGCGAATCTATTTCACTGTGCACGTGCTATGAGCGCAGCCCAGCTGTTGAAACCACTTGAATTCCCCCAAGCGCTGGGGGAAAATTAGTGAATCGTTTGAACTACGATTTCGTGCGGTTTTTTTCATCGCATTATTTTTCAACTTTATAAGTTGAATTTGCATTTTGATGATTTATTTCGGTAAGTCCATAACCGAAAGGTATCAGAATCTGCAAAGTTGTGTTTTACGTTGCATGTGACCTTTAACTTCAACATGAAACAGAAACTAAAAACCACCAAGTTAATATCAATTATTATACTAAAAGGGCAGGGCGCTGGGCCCTGCTAAACTTGCACAGGAGAAACAACACACAATAGCACAGTCTCAAAATGTGTCTAGTAAATACTGACATTCTGTCTAGACAAAATGTATCTGGTAAACACTGAGCTTCTGTCCTTTAAGTGCTATGAAATACACAACTCAATTGTATCACGAGTCCATCCATGCATGTGTTATAACTACAGGGTCCCCATATTTTTGTGAAAAAGAAATCCATGATTTTCCCACACAAATGTTGCTTTTCCAGACAAAACAATATATGTCCCATGGTATTTTGATATGTTTAAACATATATTACTGTGTCTGAAATAAAAGAATACCTTAAATACGTCCTCCCATCTCCCCTTACAGCTGTCCATTAAACATTTTTTAAATACATCTTATTGTTTAGAATTTTAGCAACACATGAATTTAAGTAAGTATTCACATATATGCAAACTCATCCAGATTCACATGTTGATGGCTGCCATAGACCTTGTAATACTGTTAAGATATACAGATTCGTTAGGATAAAAATACCCCAAGATTATTTCATGATTTTTCCCATGATGTCATCCATTTTTTTCAAAGTTCCATGACTTTTACAACACTGGGAAATGGGGTGTAAAATGTCCAGGTCTTGTGGGAGCCCTGATCTAAGGCCAAATAAATAAAATGTTGTGGTTCCGATCACCGCTCTTTAACATTTAGGGGAGGTAGGTCAGAATTTTTTATTTCTTTCCCTTCATTTTTATTTAGAAGTAAAGTACAAACTAATAACACATTTATCAACGTGTAATTATTCATTTAATCAAGCTTGCAGCAGTTGTGGCCATCATGTCGACTTTCTCTATCAGAATGACCGAAGTCCGTCAGTGCCAGGAAAAAACAATGGTATCTGAATGCTTACTTTATTCATACTGCTTTAAAAAGATAGGGTCAGCACCAGAATCCAAGGGTCGGTCGGGTAATGGGAACCACAACATTTTTTTTAGGTCTAATGCAAGGATGTCACAATTCACTGACATCACCGTACCTAAATTTACACCTTACAGTGTGATACATGACACAGCAATAAGAGCTTGTGATTTAATTCTGTATCGATTTACAACCAGCATATCAATGACATGCAATAACACCAATGATAACTAACCTACAAGCTGTGACACGACAAAAGGCTAGATCTGATTGATGGATCACATGAAACATGGAGAAAATACAAGCAGTCGCACATACCCACGCATGCACGTCGTCATATGAGCGAAATATTCTTGAGTACAACGTTAAACCCAATTTCACCTCACCTCACCTGAACATGGTGAATATGTGATCTCTGGGTGAGTCTTGGTTTAACACCAATTCTAATGGAACTTTAGATTAATCATAGCATGTGCCCTTGATGTAGCAGGAAGGAGGAAGGTCTCTAAGATGTTAACATTTTGGCGAACCCAATAAGTATGCAGACGGGTTTAGGAACAAGGGCTCGATGGCAGACAGGAATCAGTGGAATGCCTACCTTTCGACAGTATGGACATGTTGCTTTGCTGAAGATCATGACCTTGTTCTTGCTGATGTAGTCCTGTAGCGTGGACTTCATGTCTCCGTTCATTGTGAGAGGTGGCATCCTGGCCACGAGATAGATTCAAGCTCCTAGTGCTGTCAGATTACTTCGATCACTGAAACAAAAATGGGTGTATTAACTTTATGTATCACAGTGAAGATCTGGGTTAAATTGATCTTCAGCCAACCATGCTTGTCGCAAGAGGCAACTAACAGGATTGGGTGGTCAGGCACGCTGACTTGGTTGATACATGTACCAGTAATCTATTCCCAGTTTTTCAGATTTATGCTCATGGTGTTGATCACTGGATTGTCTGGTCCAGCTCAAATTTTTAGTCCACCATCATATAAAAATATTGCTGAGTGTGACGTGTGACGAAATATTTCATGTAATGGGAATGTGTAAATAAGTGTTCTATCTAATGAAACGTGTGAAAAAGAAATGTTTATTTATTGTCTGACACTCATGATAGTCATAAGCAAGCAAGACAATAGAGAATTGTTCCACTTGAGCATTCTACAGGAAAAGTAGCTCCCATGAAAATCATGTAAACATCCAAAGGTGAATTTTATACAGTCATCCCTTGCAATAACGCTCTTCACGATACCGCGGATTCGGTTAAACCACAGGGTAATCCATGGCTCCCATAAAAAAAGTTGCCCAGTGATCACACATATTCATACATCGAAAATAGCACATCAACAAATCCACTATTGAGCTCTGGTTAATCACGTTGTTAACTAGTGAAATTCAGTGTGGATTGCAATAAACAGTGTTTATCGTACATATCCATGGTTTTTCAGAAGCTTTAAACATGCAGGGTTTTTTTCAATAATAATAGATCAACAGCAAAACATCGTAATAACTTTATCATAAAGACATGTCATCAGATGAGTACTTACAGTGTTTTCTGTGATGCAACACACCACGTAATTACGCGGGTAAACACCGCCATCCGAGAATGTATGATGTCAGAAAAGACATTTTATTTGATTCAATTCAATCCCATTTTCATTCATTAAAACTATTTACAAAAACAATGCAGAACCAGTGAGTGAAATGGCATTACCTCATTCCATACAACGCCCGCTTAGCACATTCGTGAAGGTCCGTTTTACACGCCTACCGCGATAGCACCAATTTCACATTTTTCTCAGCAATTACGAACAGATTACAGCCTTGTCATCCACTGACCCCAAGACCCGCGTTACTGACTCATTGAAGTCATATTTGACAATTAATTGCCAACATTTTGTTTTTACAATCAAAGTGGCACGTACCGCGGGAAGTCAGTGGTGACTTGTCAAACTGTCTCCTGCGTAAAATGTATCCAGCCAGGTAACCCAAAGTGCTTAGCAATGCTAATTATTATGTTAAATATGTTCGTAGAAAACATGCATTATACTTACACGATAGCAATATAAAAGATCTCTGTTAGTATAACTGCTTGACATATAAATTATTCTGATAATAGAAAAGAAATTCTTTGATGTTATATTTTCGGATCTTTTTTAACTGAATCACCGGTACATTGGACCAAAACATCGATCTGTGCACAGCTGATTGCTATTAGTTGAATAACAGGTAGCATGACAGGAACAACAATTGAATTATCATGTCTTGTGATGTTTGATGGCAAGTTTCATGTACATACATCTATTTTCATTTACAAAGTTTTTGGGGTTTTTCACCTCCAACAATACGATATAGTTTTGACTGGGCACAATACACGAAATAGCAGTTTTCTTATGTCCATGGTAACATATGATTTTATTTGGCCTTTGTTCTAGCTTATGTAATCTTTACTATAACGCAGTAGGGTTTCAGGGACTGAGACAGACTAACATGGTACATATGATTTTACTTTGGGTCATCCATGGACCCTATAAGACCCATCCATGGCGAGGGATGACTGTACTTTGTAAAATGTCACATTTCAAAGCCTGTTGAATAACGAATGGATCATATGATCAGCAAATGAACCAACAAAATCATTGGAAATACTTTAAACTTCAAACTACGAATTTACATATATTATTATGATTATATATATCACACAGATTGAAGTAGGTACAGGGGGTGAACATCACCCAGATAACAAATGTGTCAACCTGTGTTGGTAATGCTAGTTCTATTTCATACATGCATTTGTTTCAAGCTGCGTTGTTTACAATAAAACACAAGATTTAACCCAGTATTAACTGTATCCACTGAGGTATTATTTCCTATCATACTCCCGGCATATTAACAACGATGTTATATATTCTACCATACAACAGTCTAGAAAGTAGTCTAGTAGCAGCAAAATGTTGGGGGTTTGGACCCAAAGGGAGGTAACTCATGTCATCTCTGCACGTAAGTTTGTTTAAATATATATCGAGGTGGAATGCAGTCTAATGATTATCCACAACAATAAACCGAAACTTTGTATAAGAAGTAATCAAATAAAATATACCTTTCCTCTGTAACCTGAACAGATTAACGAATCGACACCAACGACGGCGAGCGGGAAATGATCGCGGATATGGTGAAATTGACAACACAAAATGTGCTTGTCATCGGTGAAATGAAAATAGACTGATAACATGACGCTCGCTGCGGTCAGGTCTAGATAACAGACATACAGCTATCATGACCCCGCATGAATATCCTCAGCAATATCCTACAAAGTCAAATAGGGCACCTCCTCAAAAGATCTCCCGAAACCGAACGGGCTAAGCCTGGCTTGTCACACGTGTGACCGTGTGTACATTGGTTCGCACCACCCCAAATACATATCTTATATCGTGGTATCGAAATAAATTTAATGCATTGAAGTAATACAGCCGACTATGTGATATATACCAGTGTGGAAAAACCCTTGTCATACTTACATGTCTCGATATGTAACGATTGTTGCCTCACGAACAGCCCTGTGGAGACTGAGCTGGCGTACTGCCCGTCACGTGACTATCTGACGTCACAGTAAAGTTGCTATTTCATGTTGGAAACGACCAGGTGCGCGAACATTCGATCATTGTCGTTACATAAACCAGGATCCTTACGCTCGGCGCGGCCGTTTCCGACAGGATCTTAATGCGGATGCTTGTTGCAATGTAGCCAATGTGTAACAGTTTAAAGTTAAGCTAAACAAATGAAACGGACAGAGAATGAATAATATTTTCCCAAGCCGAGAACAGCTTGTATTTAAGTCTGGTTTACGAGCAGACGACAGTACAATGTTTATCCTGCCAGATCGGCTTATCTAAACTGATAATATTTAGATAGGAATAGTTCAACGTGCTGGTATAGGATATAGTATACAGGCAGTTTTATTCGGGATGAATATATTCACGTGGGTATTGTAATGAAAACTTTTGATATTTAACGTAAGGTGAAGTGAGTGAGTAGGGGAGACCGGGGTCAATTGTAACACTTTTTACTTAACGTCTTGTAATTCGATACTAGTCGACCGCTCACAAAGTTAATCGGTACTAACTAGTACATTAACATCTTGGTTTTAAACCTCAGTGTCATTTAAAGTTCACTATCATGTCGTTACAAAGTTATTACGTATCAAATGCAATGACTGCAAGTGTTACAATTGACCCCTAGCACGGGGCAATTGTAACAGGCGGATGGGGCAATTGTAACAAAGAAGGTTCAAATGTAACAATCTGTTTATTTTCCAAATAAAATCAAAATAAAATGTGGAAAGATGTTATCTTGATCAATTGAGGTGGAAATGGATTAACATTAAACCTTTATCACCATCGACATTTAAAATGTTTTTGGTTTAAAATTCTTGTATTGGTACGCCTAAAATATAATACAAAGACTAACACCAAAATGTGTCACCCGAGGGCTCATACTATCAACATTACACTGAACATGTTCTACTAAGATAAAACTAGTAAAGAACTAACATAAAACCTTCATCATAATTTGCTTCATTATCCTAACACAAGGGAAATTTACATGGGGGCAATTGTAACACAGTGTTACAATTGTCCCCGATGGTAGTAGCCATGTTTCATGCCACGTCACACGTTAACAACTTTGGCTTCTCAAATATTTCTGCTTCAAAGTATGTCGTAATACCTCAATTTTACACTTGTTAATTAGTTTCATACCAAGCAACATTTACTGCATTAAGAACCTTTTATTACGTTTTGTGAAAAATTTATTTTCCAATGTGAAAAACGATTCTTCGTTAACTGTATCTCGCCATGAGCGAGCAGCTGTAAAACGCCTGGATGTGTACCGTAGGAAAGTAAAGGGAAATAACTCTACTCACCTACACTATGCTTGAGCGAAAACGTTTAGAGTAATCGCCCTTGTTACAATTGCCCCGTGTTACAATTGACCCCGGTCTCCCCTATAGTTTTACGCCGCTTCTAGAAATATCCCAGCGATCACGGTCACAGGGGCTTGTAACGCTAAAAAGGTATATACTGTCACCTTAGTACTAAGACCCCGTCAGTGACAGTATATACCTTGATGGCAGTTTTTAGCGTTACAAGCCCCTGTGATCACGGTGGGGGGACACCAGAAATGGGTTTCACACATTGTACCCATGTGGGGAATCGAACCCGGGTCTTCTTCGATGTGACGAGCAAACGCTTTTACCACTACTAGGGCACTAGGCTACGCTACGCAAATATTCGATCGCTGTCGCATACAACAGGGTCCTTACGCTCGGCGCGGCATAACAAATACTCAGTCGCTCACTCACTCACTACCAGGAGAACTTACAGATATATCTCTATTATCTGTGAGCAGACGTGAAACAAACTGAGTGAGTTTGTTTATGTTTAACATCGGCAATATTTCAGTCATATCGTGACACGTACAACAAAGCCTTTTTTTATTGCTAGCCGTGTGTGTGTTCCATTTCTGTATACACGTCCAACGAGATACCGCTAACATCAGTGTGAGTCCCAAAGGCCTGGGCCCAGATTTTCGAAGCTCTCTTAGCGCTAAGATAGTCGTAAGTGCCATACATTAACATTAACTTACGACTATCTTAGCCCAAAGAGAGCTTCGAAAATGTAGGCCCAGGGCCTAGATTTTCGAAGCTCTCTTAACGCTAAGATAGTCGTAAGTGCCATACATTAACATTAACTTACGACTATCTTAGCCCAAAGAGAGCTTCGAAAATCTAGGCCCTGTCTGTTCTTTACTGTTATGTCAATGGAACGTACTTTTAACAAAGTCTGTATCAAGACGGCCTGCAGAAAAATCTCGTCTGGGTCTGATATGGACGGTGAACTGATTGGACCACTGTTCGAGTCGACTGACCGCCTCGTTCTCTGGTCTAGTGGATAGAGCGTCAGCCCGGAGAACGGTTAGTCGGTGGTTCGATCCCAGTAGTACCAAACTAAAACATGTTGAAAGATCGAATGCTCCCTGTTGGCTTGCATGGCGCTCGGCTGGGGATATATCAAGGACTGGTCGTCATAGAGACAGTATAACGTGTTTGAGTTTAATTTGGGAATGGTATCTCATTGGGTTAGCACTGTAAAAACGTCACAATTAGGACTTTAGAACAGGAAGCCATGCACACGCACACACGCGCTCGCCCGCACGCACAGACAAAGATACGCGTGACGCTTACCCTATTTAACATCAGAGTTGACGAAAATGTTGATTTTGTGGCCAGGACTGAGACTTGGATGATTTTGTGTGAAGCTTTTGTCACTGACAGTGTACGAAATAGCTACTGGCCCGCTAGCCCGTGGCTAGTAAAAATCCAGTCGGGCCAGTAAATCTCCACAGTCACTGGTCCGACTGGCTAGTGAAATTTCATGGGGTCATTTTATAGATATATCACTCTCTCTGACCTGATAACTTATAGTACACATTTAAATCATCCAAGATTATAGCCTGATAAAAGTGGTCATCATATTAGCAGCTTAATGATGAAACCCGTGTCTACATTCAAATTTCGGGCTTGTGAATTATTTGGGGCTAGAAACTCTCAAATATAGCTAGCCCGACTTGCTAGCAAAATTTGGAAACTATTTCGTACACTGGTCACTGATATGGCTCACCATCCATATACCCCGGTCACTGAATTGCCAGGTTTACACTCGATTATTTCAACACAGTCATGGTATATCTGAAATATCGCCGCTGACGGTATTATTAACCCTGAATCATCGCAACATAGGTTGCATACTACACCCAGACAGGACGACAAGGATTCAGGATATGTACAGCACAGCGCATCCGCTTGTATTACGCGGAACCAGTGCGCAAATAGGTAAACCGTCACACCCTATTTCCAAACATGCTCAATGTGTATTCATTCGAAAACAGTACGGTGATGGTGTATATTAAAAGCTAACATTCGAAAGTTCTGCCGAAGAGTATGAGAAACTCAGTTGGCGGCGCATTAAACACTTTAAAGCTACCAGTAACCGAATCACTAAACGTTCTCACGTAGCCTTGCTTGGGATGAGGCCCTAGCCAATATAGTCCTACAGAGTCCCACATTTTACGTATTATATTCACGTGCATAAACAATTTGCATAATATATAGAACACGCGAGGTTTTATCTGAGTATATCATCAGAGAACTATACATCAAGCAACTCCATCCCAGTTTTTGCAACATTTTGAAAAATAATCCGAAAGGGCCATCTTGCATCATGGATAGTTATACACAACTCATAAAGTAACATTTCAGTTAACTGTAGCTCAACGCACAGGTATGTAATAGAAAATGTCAGCAGGTCTAAAGGTCAGGTCACTGGCCTCCACAAGTGACACGGCCCCTGTATATTATCAAACATTATCACATTTTTATGAGTTCTTTTATCAAAACCATTGTGTTACACTTTGTTGTGTAAGTAGTCCACGTATATGTATCAATTATGTTAACGCGTGTTTTATCATTGTATTTACAAGTGAGGTGAGATGTTATTACAATAATCTTTCCACCTGTTAATCCTAATATAGGTACTGGCTTTGCACAAATCCTCTGCAGTGTACAGCATTCTTAATGTAGTCTGGTTACCTGGCTCTAATCGTGATTATTTTCACATACCACTTTGATGCAACCAACAAAAATGTTTTCAATTCATTCAAAAACGATAGTGTTATGTCACGCACGCACGCACGCACGCACGCACGCATACAAGAACGCACACACGTCCTCACCACCGTGAGGGAGTATGGCTTTACGCCGCTTTAGCAATATTCCGGCCATATCACCTCGGGGGACACCAGAAATAGGCTCCACAAATTGCACCCATGTGGGGAATCGAAGCAGGGTCTTCAGCGTGACGAGCGGACATTTTAACCATTAGGCTGCGCAGCCGCCCCGGAATTACACGAAGCAGGCATTAAGGGGCACAGTACGTGCATGCATGATAGACAAACGACTAAGACTCGCCTACGATATGCACGTAAAGTGTGGAATCAAGACAACAAACGAACTTGGTTGAACGTGATTCAGGGCCTATGTCCTACGTACACGGAAGTTCAATCTTGCTTTCAAGCGACGTCAATCAAATTTCGATACACATCAAAGACCTTGAATTTCTAAACATTCTTTATCAAGAAATAGAGCTTGCACTACCCAGTGTATGTGTACTAATACAGAGTAGTTTTCCTTTTAACTATCATAGATAAAGCACGTTGCGTTGAGATAGCCCATTGTCGTGACTTAAAAAGGGTTCGTTATCTCCAGATATATAAATGTCGGCGCCCTTGATCTCTTCGAATTAAAATGAAATGACATCTTCGTTTTAAATGAATTCATCTTCGTTATTTTGTTTACTAGTATATTATGCTCTGAGAAAGAAACCAATACATGAGCCAACAACGTCTTCAAGAGTTACTTTCTTGAACGAAAAACGTTAATTTCATGTTGCATCACTACATGAACAGAGTGTGCATGCATGTTCTGTTTTACCGAGAATGTGTCAAACAAAAGATAAAAGAATTCATATCGAAGATCCCTGGCATTTGGAAGATACACTTTCATGGGACGGTCAGGTAATTTGTCATTGTTCTGGATAAAAAAAACCC